TGCGATGAGAAATTTCTCGAAGGCCTCGATGCGGCGTCACTCAGAGTAGGCTAGATTTAAGAAATTACATAACCATGAACTAACTTAACCTAACACTGGGAGAAAACAATAGCCAAGAAACAAAAATGAACAAAACACGAAACGAAGCAAACCAAAACTAGTTTTTTTTATTATATTATCTGAACACAAATTTGCTCTGCCATGTTCTTCGACTACAAATAAATTCTGAATATATTTTTAATGAATAACAAAAAACAATCTTTTCCGTCACTGCCTGGCTACACTGGGAAAAATAAAGAGAAACTCGGTTTCCAAATAAATTGGATATATTTTATTTTCATAAAAATCCCAGACATCAACGGCCGCTTTTAGAGCATTCGAACCGACCACACTGAGAGAATCAAATCAATAAAAATGCACCAATAAATATTTCTCGACTATTTTTCCTGCGCTCCTAGGGGAAATACACTGCTGGTCTTGGGTTAGACCACTAACCATACAACATATAGACTGGTCATTTCATACAACGAAAATGGACACAAAAATTTCCTAACATGCGGTCCCATGTTAACTGTTTGCTGTTAGCGACAGACCGTCTGTTAGATTTTAGCTGTTACCGTCCCGTCCCATGTTAGCTGTCAGCTGTTAGCGTCAGGCCTTTACATGTATGCGTGTTCATGCATTCACGTACACGGGTGCATGTGTGCGATCGTTTCATTTCGGCCCAGCAAGAATATTTGGTCTTTTGCTACTTTTCGCGCTAGGTACCCTAACAATATGGGCATATTCTCTATTGGGTTAATGATACAAATAAGAATGTTATATGTTATAATATATTTCTTAATGTTTCAGCATTCATTTCATATTTGTTTACAATTCAAATCAGTGGCAGCAGTGAAGTGTGTTGCATATATGTACATATATATTCGAATGAATAAAATTTCATCTACTGAGATAGGAACAGGGCATATTGCAGTCGGTGTCACTGTAAACAGAGACGGGCACGAGATCTAACGGTTTGGGTAGCAGCTCGGCCAAAAAAAAAAAAACAACAACAACAACCCCCAGCGTCTCGACGCGTTGCAGCACACAGAATGTGCAAGCGATCGCGAGCACCGACTGCAATATGCCCTGTTCCTATCTCAGTAGATGAAATTTTATTCATTCGAATATATATGTACATATATGCAACACACTTCACTGCTGCCACTGATTTGAATTGTAAACAAATATGAAATGTATGCTGAAACATTAAGAAATGTATTATAACATATAACATTCTTATTTTTATCATTAACCCAATAGAGAATATGCCCATATTGTTAGGGTACCTAGCGCGAAAAGTAGCAAAAGACCAAATATTCTTGCTGGGCCGAAATGAAACGATCGCACACATGCACCCGTGTACGTGAATGCATGAACACGCATACATGTAAAGGCCTGACGCTAACAGCTGACAGCTAACATGGGACGGGACGGTAACAGCTAAAATCTAACAGACTGTCTGTCGCTAACAGCAAACAGTTAACATGGGACCGCATGTTAGGAAATTTTTGTGTCCATTTTCGTTGTATGAAATGACCAGTCTATATGTTGTATGGTTAGTGCTAGGACCTACAATATCCAGAAACTCACAAGAATACAGAGATCGGCAAGCTACTGAAGCATTAAGCTCATGCCACGAAAAGCGTTAAACGCCATTTTAAACCTAATCCCAAAAAAAAAAACCTTTCATCAAAGATATCAATTTTTTAACTGAAGCCAGTACTCTGACGACGAAAATCTGCTGTAACACGTAATACAGCGGAATCGCTTTTTAATTTGCTCGGTAACCAGTGTGACCAACAGAATTAATGAAAAGCCATAAAACGCCATGAAAAAGGTAATACTGAACAGCTATTTGTTGTTTGTAAAGCCTAGTACTCTGACGAGAAAAACCCGGTGTCTAAATTAGACAGCGGAATCGCTTTTTATTTCGCTACCGAGCTAGTGCGACCAAAAAAATTAAGGAAATTCCATGAAAATGTACTTTTTATGGCGTTTAAGGATTTTCCTTGGTCACACTGGACAGCTGTTTGTAAACAAATATTAAAAAAAATATTAATAAATATGGCATTAAAATGTCCTTTGTGGGTTAAATTCCATATTATGGGCTTCCCCTTGACAGCCCCTATCAATGCCACCTTTTTCCTTCAACTTTCCCTCCATTAGGGGTGTCTAAATAAATCAAATGAATTATTTAGACAGCGCGAGATCAGCTGTTTACTATCTTGATCTGGCAGCGCCATTCAATTTTCGCAGGCTTCATTTTCGTCGTCAGAGTACCGAAAAAAACGACGTGTCTAAAAGTTCTTCTTCTTTTTTTTTCGACACCGTTTTTTTTATATGGAGTTTGGCCGCTGTCTAAATTTATACAGCGGTTTTTTCTCGTCAGAGTACTAGGCTTAAACAAATAAAGATGAATTCAAACAAATTGGATTTTGGTGTTTCCCTGATGTATTTCGCCGCTAAAGAGCTGAAGGAAAAAAGAAAACTGGTCATCGCCCCCATACTCCGCGGCAACAAATCCCATATTGTGGGCTTCGCCTTGACCGCTCTTATTAAAATTTGTTTGTCCTACAATTATATTTTTCCTTCAACTTTCCCTCCATTAGGGGTGTAAGAATAAATCAAATGAATTCTTTTTACAGCACGACACAGCTGTTTACTCTCTTGATCTGGCAACGGCATTCAATTTTAGCAGGTATCAGTTTCGTCGTCAGAATATTAGCAAAAACGACTAGGCAATAAGTTCTTCTTCTTCCTTTTTCGACACCGTTTTTTTTATATGGAGTTTGGCCCCTGTATTACGTGTTACAGCGGATTTTCGTCGTCAAAGTACTTAAGTTCAGTCTGGAATTCAAGACCATTTCAAACGAATAGCCAGAAGAAGAAATCAGAGATGCACTGAAAAACTATCGCCAAACTATCGCAAGCAAACCGTGTTTAGATTTAGATGCGTTTTAACGGCGGCCAAATGAAAAAATTCGGAACGGCAAAACCTTATGGATCGTTTGGAAGATCCTGTTCGTAATTTTAATTTAGTGCGGATAAAATCTGACGCAATCTGTGGTTTTGCTGTTGTTAAACAGCCGAAATAGTTGATAAACTATTAATTTTACTCCCACATCCCCAGTTTCAACCATTTTGTTTGCGTTTTCATAAGCCGCAGCTGATCGATCAGCTGTTATTGGATACGGATGCACTTTAACGCAGCTCTGTGGGAACACGAGTTTCACTTTTTTTAAAAATCCCAACCGTTCCCACACAAATGCGCTGAGTGGGAATATAGTATTAGAGTATCATAAGGCTATTAGTATAAAACGACTTTTTCAGGCATTTGCCCTTTGTTTAGGCTGGTAATATCATAAGATAAATTTGATTTTAATACAAACTTTATGAAGTGAAATTAATAATCGATTTAAAGTACTTTTATCACGGTCTTCACCTTAACTGCACCTATTAAGGTGACTTTATCCTCACGACAAGAAAATCGTTCTAATCTAGAAAAAAATATTTCCTTATATTTTCCGTCTATATTTTCTTTCCAAAAATATCAATTCATTAATTTCGCTTCGAAATCGCAATTGATTGATGTTTGATCTGGCAACGCTTTTAGCTTTTTCGATCGCAACATTTATTTTATGTTAGTACCCTCGGAAGCAAAAACTCGGTTCTTCTAATTTCAATCTTTGCTCGTTTTTTTATTTTATTTGGATTTTTGCTGCCTTCAGAATTTGTATCTTATTTTATTACAAGCCTAGAGAACGAAAATCCTCTGTCAAAATTGTGATAGCACAATTGCTATATATGTTTTGCTCGGCAACCAGTGTGAGCAAAGGAAATAAGGAAAAGCCATGAAACGCCATGAAAAGGGTAATACTGAACAGCTGTTTGTTTTGCATTTAAAATCCTTTTGTGGGTTAAATCCCATAACAATGCCACTTTCTCCTCGCGGGCAGAAAATTTTTCGGTCCTACAATTAATTTTCTCCTTCAACTTTCCCTCCATTAGACCTGTAAGAATATCTGAAATGAATTATTGTAATAGCACAATATCACTTGATCTGGCAACGCCTTTTAATATTCGCAGGTATCATTTTCGTTATGTCAGTACCCGCAAAAACGACGAAGGAAAAAGTTCATCTTCCTTTTTTCGCATGTTTTTTTTTATATATGGAGATTGGCTGCTGCCACAAGTGAAATCAATATTTCATTTTAATTTTGTGCGGATAACCTTTGATGTAATCTGTGTGTATGCTGTTGTTCAACAGCCTGAATAGCCTTCCACACCAGCCGCTTTAGCCATCTTGGTTTACGTTTTAGGTTTTGCACAGCTGATCGATCAGCTGTAATCGGATGGATGATGGTGGATGTATGTGGCTCTGTGGGAATCGGAGTTTCGGACCTGAGTGGAGAGTTTATTTTTATTGTCGTATTTTCCTAATGCGAACGACTTGCTAAAAGGACTAGGAAAAATGATTTTAAATAGCCTTTCCACCTGTAGGGCTAAAAACATTTTGTGATAAATGCTGATGTTTGCCCACCGTAATTGCAGCTTCAGACCATACAGTTATTATTAGAAAAAAATATATATATAAAATAGAGGAATAATAATTCAGATAAATAAAAAAAAAATTCATTGATATGTCCGCCAAATAAGTAAACTTTTTTCTGTTTGCCTTATGTTTCTTCATTGCGGATAATTTTATCGAGTTGACGGATCAAATGTTCACTCTGTGTTTTGGCGATTTATATATTTAAATATATATATATACATATATAACACATAGATAAAAATAAAATGGAAAATGATTTCTCTAGTGAAATTCCCGCATTTCCGGATTTTGGGCTATAGTTAAAAGCAGTAAAATAATTTATGTGTCAGTGTTGACACTATACAGAAGGTACAATCGATGTATCGATATATTGTACATAAAGTATTGGTGGTATATATTTCAAGATGGCGGAATGTGCGAAGAAGAAGAGAACAAAAAGCAAGCGAAAAATCGTAAAGCGTATCTGTTAATGTATAAATGCATAATATTTATATTTGCTAAGTCTCAGTATACATAACGGATTATCTTATCAATATTTAAAAAACCAAACACAGCCTCCACGTTGTGCTCTTTAAATCTTTATCACAGAGGTCTAAAACTAAGGAAAAATCGAAATCTTGTATCTGACTGACGGCCATAAGAGTATCACCAAAGCAAATAGAAGCAGTAAAGGGCCAACAAAAAGTTATAAACTTACAGAAGCAACTGCTAGAAGTGGTACCAACCAAGGTAAATGTTGCCCCACCGAGAAAAGCATTTTTCGCCCATTCCTTTTAGCCGTAACTTACGCGCCCTTACCGCCACGACGCGCTGATAGTCCGCACAGATACTCACAATATTTTTGTTTGTTGCAGACTCCTACTTTAGGATTAAGAATTCCTCCTGCCCAAGTGGTTTGGGTGTTGTGCTGTAACATTCGCCGCAGTTAGAAGCAGACTATGTCTGCCTTTTTGCGTCATCAAAATCCACAAGATTACACATAGCCATGGCTGCGACGAGAAAACTGCAAGGTAAGCTTAATGTCTATTCCTTTAAGAATTCGTATTCATTATGTGTGATTGAAAAGTATGCACATAAACAAAGCATCCATATCTTTTTGAAACTTAAAAAAATATTTTTTTTGCTAGGCGAAATCGATCGATGTTTAAAAAAAGTTGCCGAGGGCGTTGAAACATTTGAAGATATTTGGAAAAAAGTACATAATGCTACAAATACCAACCAGAAGGTAAGTGTTCCCTACTTTCAGAAAGCGTACTGACTTTTTCTTCCTGATATTATTAGCAAAAACATCTGCAGGAGAAATATGAGGCAGATCTCAAGAAAGAAATTAAAAAACTCCAGCGATTACGCGATCAGATTAAGTCATGGATTGCTTCAGCCGAGATAAAGGATAAAAGTGCGCTGCTTGAAAATCGAAGACTTATTGAAACGGTACTTTACTCATTGTTGAATTCGCTAAGATATACATCATTGAAGCAAAATGTTTAACTTTTTACAGCAAATGGAACGCTTTAAGGTTGTCGAGCGCGAAACGAAAACAAAAGCATATTCTAAGGAAGGCTTGGGAGCAGCACAAAAAATGGATCCGGCCCAGCGAATTAAGGATGATGCCCGAAATTGGTTAACCAGTTCAATTAGTTCTCTACAAATACAGATAGACCAGTATGAGAGTGAAATTGAATCACTTTTGGCAGGTAAAAAAAAACGCCTAGATCGAGACAAGCAGGAGCGTATGGATGATCTGCGTGGCAAATTGGACAGGCACAAATTCCATATAACAAAGCTAGAAACTCTGCTTAGGCTGCTCGACAACGACGGTGTCGAGGCTGAGCAAGTTAACAAGATCAAAGATGATGTCGAATATTACATTGATTCATCGCAAGAGCCCGACTTTGAGGAAAACGAGTTTATCTACGACGATATCATTGGACTGGACGAGGTGGAGCTAAGTGGTACGGCCACAACGGACAGCAACAATAGCAACGAGACTAGCGGATCACCAAGCAGCGTCAACTCCGGTGGCAGCCCGTCACAGTCGCCCGTCACGGTACAACAAGTGCTCACTTCTTCCGCGCAGGCAGCGGCAAGTAGTGGCAGCAGTGCAGCCAGCGCTACTTTGTTCCAGCAACAGCAAGCAGCAGCCCTGGCCCAATCAAATGGCAACAACATTGGCTATGCGAGCGACACCAGCGCAGCATCATCATCAGCGACAACATCCACCGACCCGTCTGGCAGCATCACAGTTGCACAGTTTAGTGGCGGAAGTGGGAGTGATAAGCGCAACAAAAGCAGCGAAAGCAATGCCAACAACATCAAATTGAAAGTGTGTATTGAGAATCGGATTTACCGTGTCCCCTTGTAAGCGTTATGCAATGAATGGTTTACTTTTGTCCGCAGCAACAACCTCTGCAGCTTATTAAGCCCACGCCTGTTCGAGCGACGGCTAAGACGCCTTCGGGTAGTGATAGTAAGTAGCAAATAAATAGAGGTCAGCAAATATTACTAACTCTGGATACTTGATCAGCTCAAATCAATAAGATTGTCAGTTCAACGCCCAGTAAAATGCAGCAGCCACCAACGGCCGCGTCAGTTCTAGCAACCTCCAGCCTGGCACAGAGCAGTACAAGTATGAGCGGGACCGGAAATAGTAATGCTAACGAGGGAACAGGAGCCGCCACCGCATCAGCAACCAACAGTGGTCACAATCCTGCCGTGCAGCAACATGCTCCTACGCCTGCCCTGTGTTCCTCCACCAGCATTCCTGCAGGCGCCACTGCAACAGCTGCCTCGAGTCCCGCCAGCGCCGCCCCCACGAGCAGTGGCAACGTTCAGGGCCTATCTGTGATCCACGCCTCACCACCAATTGCATTTGCTGCTGTAGCGAAACATAACACATGTAGGAGGCCACAAATCAAAATTTAATGATTGTGTAGACTACTTAGCATATCTTTTTTTTAGCACTTTTGGAGAATGGATCTGTATTGCAGCAGCAGCAGCAACAACAATCAGCAGCTCCTACGGTGGCTGCTATTGTTGGAACCGGAGCACAGGCCCAGCAGCAACAACAGTTGGCACAACTATCCAATCTTCAAACGAATTCCTCACATTTACATAACGGTAAGCATACGTTTTAGCAAAAATTATCGCTGCGTGACGGTTTTAAAGAATTGGAACCTTTTTTTTAATAAGTAGTTTTTGTTATCTAATATAAGGGGTAACAGGTTTTTACGATGTTGGGCGTCGTTAAAAAGTTACAGCGCTCTCCTTATGGAATGCCCGCCAGAGCATTACTAAATGTTTTTATTTGCAATTATTTAAAACTACTTGTAACCCTGATATATTATAAACGTCTTGACGTATCGCGTCAAAAATCGTAGACTGTTCATCACAATTTTCGATAGACTTTAAATTAAAATTTACAAACAAGAAAGGAAGCTAACTTCGGCACGCCGAAGTTTGTATACCCTTGCAGATTGGTTTATATTATAGATTTAAATGCTGAAAACACTCACAAAACAAAGTTTCATTACATTTTATCAGTTACAGTTTTACATTACCAGCTTTACATATTTTATACATTTACCGATCGCTTCTATGGCAGCTATAAGATATAGTTGTCCGATTTTTATGAAATTTATACAAAAATTCTAGAATAATAAAAAAAAGCTTATATCTCAGAGTAAATAAAAATACGTTGAAAAACAACGAAGTTATAATTTTTTCGATTAATTTCCCGATCGTTCCTATGGCAGCTATAAGATATAGTGGTCCGATTTTCATAAAATTTTTACCAAAATTTTGGAATAATATAAAATGGCTATAAAAATGATGGAATAATATTGAAAAACAGCCAAGTTATAATTTTTTTTCCAAAAATTTATCGAACATTTGTATGGCAGCTATATGATATAGTCGTCCGATCCGGCCCGTTCCGACATATATAGCAGTGAGAGCATATAGAAGACTATATGCAAAGTTTCATTCAGATAGCTTTAAAACTGAGGGACTAGTTTGCGTAGAAACGGACAGACGGACGGACAGACGGACATGGCTAGATCGACTCGGCTATTGATGCTGATCAAGAATATATATACTTTATAGGGTCGGAAACGTCTCCTTCACTGCGTTGCAAACTTCTGACTGAAATTATAATACCCTGCAAGGGTATAATACAAAAAAAAATATATATATATTTTAGGCTATAGGCTAGAGCCTGTTTGTCCAAATAACCAACTATTTGACTTGGAAATTAAAACAGAAACGAAATACTTACATTCGTTTTTGGATTTTTTTTATTAAGGGAGAATATATCAACAGCCGAGTCGATCTAGCCATGTCCGTCCGTTTCTACGCAAACTAGTCGCTCAGTTTTAAAGCTATCTGAATGAAACTTTGCATATAGTCTTCTATATACTCTCACTGCTCTATATGTCGGAACGGGCCGGATCGGACGACTATATCACATAGCTTCCATACAAATGTTCGATACATTTTTGGAAAAAATTAAATCTTGGCTGTTTTTCAAAAATTTTGAACCATTTTTGAGATATGGCCAACTTATATTATTTCAGATTTTCGGTTTTAATTTTATGAAAATCAGACGACTATATCCTTTAACTGCCATAGAAATTTTTCTATTCTAAAAATTACATCGGGAAATTTATAGAAAAAAATTATAACTTCGTTGTTTTTCAACCTATTTTCATCTACTCTGAGATATGAGCTTTTGTTATTATTTCAGAATTTTGGTAAAAATTTAATGAAAATCTGACAACTATATCATATACATAGCTGCCATAGAATCTATCGATTGATGTAAAGAAAATGTAAAACTGGGAATGTAAAACTGTAACTGCCAAACTCTAAACATAATAAGAATAGGTAAAATATAATGAAACTCTGTTTTGTGTGTGTTTTCTGCATTTAAATTTATAATATAAACATCAAAACCAATCTGCAAGGGTATACAAACTTCGGCGTGCCGAAGTTAGCTTCCTTTTTTTGTTTTTTATATGTAATTGTTCTTCTCTTAATAATTTAAATATTTTTATACCCTTGCAGGGTATTATAGTTTTAGTTGAAAACTGGGAACGCAAAGTTTATATAATTTTTGATTAACAACTTTCGAGTCGATCTAACTATGCCTCAGTTTTGAAGCTATCTGAATCTGGTTTGCAGGTAGTCTATCATAGACTATATCATATAGCTGGCATAGAAACAAACAAAAAATTAAACAAAAAAATTATAATTTTGCTGTTTTTTAACAAAGTTGTTGAAAATCGTAATTAATTTACTTTTATTAAGCATATGCATATATTGATCATTTCTATTAAATTAGATATTTTAAATCAAATATATAGTTATTCTATAAAATTAAACTTTTTTTTAATGCTATGCATAAATATACATATATATTTTTTATACGTATATCCCCTGTTTTTTTTTTTAATATTTTAAATTTTATATTTACAGGCTTACAAGTCTCTTCGGTTGGTACTAGTGACAACAATAGCATTGGAGCTGATGCAACAATTTCTTTAAAAACGATGGCACAGGAAGCTATTAATCGATCCACAATCGATGTCAATTCCGTAATCCAGCAGCAAACAAGCAACATCGACACGAGGCAGCCGCTGTCTTTGTCTCACCAACCGCAACAGCAATCCATCCTCCAGCAACATTTCATCTCGGAAAACACTGCCAACCAACAACAGCAGCAACAAAAGGTAGCGGCGCAACAGCAGCAAAACGCAGCAGCGGCAACTGCGGCAGCGATAGGATCAATCGTAGTTTCGGGGTCCCACGCGTCAACAAACAGCAACGGGCCCATTGCCACCGGCTCTGGAATCATGAGTCTGGCGAACGCTGCAGGTCAGCCGACTAGTGGAAATGCCAAGGTCCTTACATTGCAACAGCATCAGCAACAGCAGCAAATGGCCACTACAGAGGCGCACATTCCTACTCTGCTGGGAGTGACACCATTGGGACCAACGCCGCTCCAGAAAGAGCATCAAATGCAGTTTCAGATGATGGAGGCTGCCTACTACCATCTACCACAGCCCATGGACACGGAGAAATTACAAACGTACTTTCATCGCGCACCAGTACCTACGCCTGCACATTATCCACAGGTAAGCTTTCATCGGGTTACTGGTTCCTGCAGATTTATTTTTATCGGAGCTCGTAAATTAAAAACCAGGTTATCGCATTCCTTTCTTCAAAATTAACTGGGAGTGACCAAATTATAAAACAAACTTGATCTGATGCAACAGATATGTATAGATACTGTATACACTCTAAGATCTGTTGTTCCTCGCAAATAGTATTTTTTTTCTACAATGGCTTTGACTTTAACTTAATTTTGACTTTTACCTTAACCTCCATTGCGGGGTATTACATTATTAATACGTCAATTAGAACAAATTTGATATCCCCATTTGCTTAAAACTGTGCAGGTGCGTGTCAGTTAGGTCATTGTTCTGTGATCACTTTAGATCCTTCTACATTTTTATACCCTTGCAGTGTATTATAATTTCAGTCAGAAATTTGCAACGCAGTAAAGGTGACCTTTCCGACCCTATAGAGTATATATATTCTTGATCAGCATCAACAGCCGAGTCGATCTAGCCATGTTTGTCTGTCTGTCCGTTTCTACGCAAATTAGTCCCTCAGTTTTAAAGCTATCTGAATGAAACCTTTCATATAGTCTTCTACATACTCTGACTGCTATATATGTCGGAACGGGTCGGATCGGTCGACTATTTCATATATGTGCCATTCAAATGATCGACAAATTTTTAGAAAAAAAAATTATAACATCGCTGTATCAACTGGTAAGCTTGTCCTCCGGCAGTCTGACAGACTGTATGCCATGCAATCGGTATAAAAACAACAAAAAGAACTAATTCTAATTTCCGAGGTTTGCTTTTGCTTTCGGATCGACGCTTAGGAATCCCAATGGGTCTAAGTTTAGATTGAAGGAAAAGTACCAAGAAAATTCGCAATAGTTAGCAAGTGGTCTGATAATTTGGGTAGCGTTGCATCCCAAACAATTGGTTTAAAAACAACAAATAGAACTATTGCCGATTTTCGTGGTTTGCTTTTATCCTCGCATCGACGCATAGGATTCCCAACGGATTCTAGCTTAGATGGAAGGTAGAGTGTCAATAGTTAGCAAGTGGTCTGATGATTTGGATAGCGCCATACTCATACATTGAACACCAAACTACCTCCAACTTAATTCGTTTTGTGTAAAAAAATATGAAGCATACCCGAAAAGATGAATAGGAACATTATATACTAGTGACAGTAGTGACTAGGAGAGACGCGGCAGTTGATGCTGATCAAAAATATATAGACTCATTGTATATCCTCCTGAAAGCTTCCTAATACATGGTTCACTATAAGACAGCCCCACCGGAGGAACTCAGGAGCATGGCGAAAGCCAGCCCGAAAGACCAACAACTCCTAGTGGGAGCAGACGCCAACGCATATCACAGCGTGTGGGGGAGCCCCGACATAAACGAAAGAGGTTAGTCACTTGGTACTAACTTATATGTAGCAAACGTGGGGGAGGAGCATACCCTCGTAGGTCCCATCTCATCAAATATTCCAGAACTATTACTTGCACCGCGCAGCATGCAAATGTAGCGAATTATGATCCTGCGGCAAGACATAAATATTTTCATGCCCCTCATAAACGAACATTTCAATATGCTTTGGCGACTCCGAAATGTTGCGTTTTAGCTTCGAAATACTAAAAAATATATAATTTATTTTGTATGAAAAAATATTGAACATAATTCTACAGGTACTCACGTCGAGATCTTAAATTTCGATGCCTGTTTCATTCCGTTTCGTCGTCTTGTTAGATAGCGATTGAAATTTATATTTTGCTTGAATAATATGAATTAATCTCTACACCAGAGTCCCAAGATCTTAATTGGGGTGTGGGTTATGGTTTTTAATTTAATAGTACATTTTTATGTGCTCAACATATTAAGAACATAGTTACATCGGTTAGAGCAAAAAAGGACCAACTATTTATGGGAGTTTAAATGGGACTTCTTACTTTTACGCTTGTCACCGTGCACTTTAAAGGGTTCCCTGAAAAATGGTATTTTGCATATCGGTGTACACGACAAATCAATATCTACGGACTGATCGAAATTTTGCACAATAACTTTTGCACAACTTATTGGCCACGTAAAAATATTTTAGGAGATAATAGTAAATAGTAAAACAAAATTTGCGAGCTCTGAAATTTATATTTATATTATATATTAAATAAATATTTAAATACAGTCCCAGCTGCCCATATATGATACCGTTGAATTCTATCAACGACTCTCAACGGAGACGCTGTTCTTTGTATTCTATTATATGGAGGGCTCCAAGGCTCAATATCTGGCTGCCAAGGCATTAAAAAAACAGAGCTGGCGCTTCCACACCAAGTATATGATGTGGTTTCAAAGGCACGAGGAACCCAAAATTATTAACGATGATTACGAACAGGTAAGACATCATACGAAAAACAAATAAAGAAGAAGATCATTTATTTTATTAAATAAACATTATAATTTATTTCCCAGGGTACGTACATCTATTTTGACTATGAAAAGTGGAGTCAGCGCAAGAAGGAGGGATTCACCTTTGAATACAAGTACTTAGAGGACAAGGAGCTTAATTGAAATGTTGAGATGTTTTGTCCCTCCTCTGTCAATAAGAAAACCATTAAAAAAAAACAATAAAATTATATAATATCACTTTCATACCAAACACAATACACACACATAAAATAAAAGAGAGAGAGATTACGTACAGCAAATGGAAAATCATGATAAAGCTAAGAAATTGGAGGCATAAGCATAAATTTAAAGGAAAGAAAAATTAAGTTGGAATACTTGTTCGGAATGCATGTAAAAACCTATGCATTTTATATAGATTTTTTATTTATGACGAGACGAAACGACACAAAACTTCTTTATAAAGTTCGCTTAGCGCTTCTACTAACTTAGCATTGGAATCTAGCTATACATATAAACGAATACTTTCGCGATTCTCCTTTAACAAACCTTCAATAATTGTATAAAACCGGATTGCAGTACATACACCTTCAATTATACATACACATACAGAATAAAACAAAAAATGCACCAATTTTTATGAGTTTAGACTAAGAGAAAATAATGAAAACCAACAAATTTCAGCTGATCTTATTTAAATTTAATAATGTAATTTTGCGGTTACTAAGTTAATTGAAATAGATTGAGCATGTGTTGAATGGAAAACAACAAATTAATGAGTAATTGAAAACCTTTTTTAAAATAAAAAATAAATAAATAAAAAATGAGTGAATAGTTAAACATGTGAATTTTTTTATTTCTAAATGTACTAAATGTTATTTAGGTAAATAGGAAAATATTGTTTTAAATGTGTTTTGTTTAATGCTTGTGACGATTCCAGAGAAGAAATGTTTCTTGTAAATATTAACAATGCTTATAAATGTAAAATCTTTTTAATACCACACTTCGCAAATAACAATTTATTCGATTTTCTAGGACATCTACGGACACCCTTTAAGTTTGTTTCTTCTATTCTGGGTATTACGAAATCACGTGAATTTTTTACTGTTTGTACATATTAAAATATAATTCTGCTATAATAATGATTTATGTTTTGTAATTGAAGGTATAATACACGATTAAAAATCTTAAATATCTCATCCCTAGATACCTCTTATTTTACTCCTATTTGTTGTTGTATTGTGACCGTTCTTCTTTACAAAAAGGGTATCAAATCGATACCTGTCCAATGTATCTAATTACAACACCTTTGTAGATTAGTAGTTTCCATGACAATAAATGATTTTTAAATTATTTTACGTAAAAGACACAACAATTATTATTTTTTCGGAGTTACCTCCCAGTTTCCAGAAACGTCCCATATTCACTGTTACTTATTTTTTATTTACATATATTAGTTTTTGTAAAAATCGTACACCAAATTTAATTGCAATTTAAGGACTTTCCAAGCAGACAGATTTAGTTTTATTATTAGAATCTTAATAACTTTAAAGCCAGATTTTTGAAAACCCTTTAAATTTGTCTGACAGTAAAAGCTGAAACGTGGCTAAACCGATCATGACATTTACATTACAAATATATTGTGAGCTCCTAAAATATGTTTTAAACCAAAAACTTGAATCTTAATCAACCTATTAAAAATAAATGGGAAAAATAATCTATTTGATATGAATAAGTTTACTTATGTTGTTGTACATATGTACATTTCCTTCTCTTACGTCTATTTAACTTACCTTAAATCTACCCATGTAAAGACCGTTTACGCAGTCTTATATTTTTATACCCTAGCAGGGTATTATAATTTCAGTCAGAAGTTTGCAACGCAGTAAAGGAGACATTTCCGACCGTATAAAGTGTATATATTTTTAATCAGCCGAGTCGATCTAGCCATGTCTGTCCGTTTCTACGCAAACTAGTCCCTCAGTTTTAAAGCTATCTGAATAAAACTTTGCATAGTATAGTCTTCTTAATGTCAGAACGGGTCGGATCGGTCGGCTATTTCAGATACATAGCTGCCATAAAAATGATGGACAAATTTTTTTGGTTTTAATTTCATGAAAATCGGACAACTATATCTTATAGGTGGCGTAGGAACGATCGGGAAATTAAGAGAAAATAATTACAACGTCGTTGTTTTTAACGTATTTTCATTTACTCTGAGATATGAGCTTTTTTTTAATATTTTCGAATTTTGGTATACCTTTTTTGAAAATCGGACTACTATATCAAATAGCTGCCGTATAAATGATCGGTTGATAGATAAAATATAAAGCTGGGAATGTAAAACTGTAACTGTCAAATGTAAAATGTAATGAAACTCTGTTTTGTGTTTTCAGCTTTTAAATTTATAAATATCAAAACCAAATTATTATATGCTATGTATAAATATACAACTTTTATATATTTCCTATTCATTCAACCAGAATGTCTCGATTTTTAATGACCCAATTGCAATCTGCAAGGGTATACAAACTTCGACGTGCCGAAGTTAGCTTCCTTTCTTGTTATTAAAACATTTTACTCAGTGTGCAAGCATCTTGTTTTTATGCTCTGGCAAATAAAAATCAGATATAGCCATTTTCGAGTTAGGCTTTTTTAAGTGAATTTTATTGCATTGCATAACGTTGATTTTACACTTATTAAACATTAATAATTCATATAATAAAAGTTGTCTTAGGTTGTGACTGCGTTAGTGACACCCCAGACAACGTCGTCGTCCTCTTCTTCGTCATGACCCCAACCCTGATCCACCTTTGCATTTAGACTATCATCATTAAATTGTAATGAATCAGCAGCAGCAAAGCGGCTACTGATTGCCTCTGTCGCTCTACTGCCACTGGCTTTTGCGCCAATGACTGGTTCCATGTCCTTGAAGAAGTCGAATTCTGTCAACTCTGAGCCATCGACCGCCGATGTCATCAGTTGCACTTGTATATCAAGTGCACTCAGATCATCGATAAGATGCGTGCTAGTCTTAACTGCCCCAATGGATATGTTTGAGCTGGCTGTAGGATTCGAGGCGGCCTGATAAGTTTCCGAGATCGGGGCACTATTTTTGGTGTCCACATTTTTTGAAGACAAATTATTTTGGATGCCCGCTTCTTCCACTTTTGGCTGCTTATAATGTAATCTCTGCAACTCATCTGTTACATCCCAATCCGACCACATATCGTCTTCATTCCCGTTTGGGGCGTTTTTTTCGTGAGCTTCGCCAACGGAGCTGATGTTCCTGTTGCCGATATCCAGGGAGGATTCCTCACTTAAATTGGCATTTTTATCATCTTCACCTCCGTCTGGACTAAGACGAAGCTCAAAGTGATCCGCACTGCTCACTGTCTCGGTTGGCAAGGGACTACCAGACATCATGAAGCCGTCCTCCTCCACATCGACAGAGCAGCCGTTCATCAAGGGAGTAATAGATCGGGGCTCTTGTACGGGATTTTGTATATCTGTGGAAACAGCAGCGTGCGGCCGACCATCAGAAAAACATCTTTTACGATTCTCACCACCTAGAACTTTGTGGGCCCCCAAAATGGGAACTAAATCAGCCATGCACCTAAGCGTCTTAGCAACTAAGACGTCATTCGTGTCGTTCATGCCGAGCTGCAAGTTTGGCAGAATCTCGGACAATAACTGTTCATCGCTTAAAAGACGAACATAGTCCATGAAGTAGTCGAGGAGTATTAAACGGATCTGAGCATCACGAAGACGAAACATCTTCAGAATGTGCGGCAGTAAATATTTGACATAAATCTGTGGGGAAAACAACGGTACTGTTGCTTTAGCTGTGGTGGCTTTCGTTCGCAAGACATTGGGTGTTACAAATTGGTGGGCTGTTGGATCAAGTAGGACCATCCTAGATAGCAAACTGCTCGCTAGTTCCGAGGCCACAACTTGCTCATCAAAACAACGCAGACGTTCAATCAAAGTAGCGAAGAAATTCTGGCGTTCCTGAACAGACTTTAACGGCAGCTCAAATAAAAAGGAATGTATAAATACAAACTCGTGATTAAAGTAAGGATGCAGTAAAACCGCTGATAGCTTCGGCCTTAGCTCACTAATTTGGTGTTTCATATGTGAGTTGCAGTATTCGCGAAACTCATGATAATGTGGAGTGACGTCTTTAGTGCTACTTCGTTTGTCCAGGACCTGTTCGCAAAGAGTTGCAAACGCAAACTGCTCAAAGTCTTCGCCACGGTTGCTTGGGTCCATAAAATGACGTGCCAAATCGATCAACTGTCCATTCACCTCATTGGCCTTCCACACGTATTCGAATCCAGCGAGACGCCAGTTGCCACTGTCAGTCACATAAATGGAATGGATGCTTATGTTCAAATGTCGAGCAAGAGCTTTCTCAATCAAAAATATAAGACTACACAGTATTGTGCGTAGGCCAAGGCAGATTTGCATTCCACTCTGCTCGGCCAGAACCTCGTTTAAGGGCCGAACTCTCTCTGTAGCTAGATGCTTCTGGCCAGATTTTTCCCAGGTAGCTATGTATTTTAATATATACGGATGCCGGTAGACCATAAGGTTCTGAAATAAAAGCAATTGATAAGTTAATTGACTTTGAATTATGTACATTTTTCTATTCTTTTTATACCTTTATACACCTCTCCATGGGACCTGCACCCTCAGCCCACAACTGACCCTTAACAAGGTGTTCACCTTGGAATACAGATAGGAGCAAGCCGCTGCTGCTTCCTTCTTCATTTGAGGATGCCGAAGATTCGGCGTTGTACAACGTCCAAAAATCATTTGCCTCAACTGCATTTTTCTCAATAATTAAACCCCTCAATTTGCTTCCCTCATTTCCCATTGTTTTTGTGAAGTAGTGCTGGAAGAAACATCGACGATACATCGATAAGAGCTGTGAAACATCGGTTGAGGGATAATATCGATAAAATTATATATTTCTTATTAGGTCTTCCCACACAGCGCATCTGTGAGGAACGGTTGGGATTTTTCGCAGATGCGAATCTCGTGTTCCCACAGAGCTGCATCAAAGTGCATCTGCATCCGAACAGCTGATCGATCAGCTGTGGCTCATGAAAACGTAAACAAAGGCTGTCGAATTGGCAGTTGCAAATTTGAAATGGAGCATTTTCAAACTATTTTGGCTGTTGTACAACAACAAAAGCACAGATTGCGTCAGAATTTATCCGCACTAAATTTAAATGAATTAGATGACAAGGAATTTGAGTTTTTCTAATGATTTTTCTCTAACAAAGAGCAAATTTCGCGATGTGTGTGTATAGGTGGTATAGGCTTCCCAAATCTATAAAATAAAGTAGAGGTAGGCGTTTTATATTAAATAGTAGCAATTGGGGACACTTTGGGTTAAGAATATACAAAACAAAAACGCCAACAACTATTTTGGACATGCTTGTAGCTTTGTCGCCACATTTTAAATTCAATATTTCATTTGTTCCTATACCACTATAACACTTATAGACACTCTTCGTGGAATTTGCTTTTTGTTAGAGAAAAATCATTAGAGAAACTAAAATTCCTTGTTATAATTCATTTAAATTTATTGGGAATAAATTCTGACGCAATCTGTGGTTTTGCTGTTGTTAAACAGCCGAAATAGTTTATAAACTATTCATTTTACTCCAGCATCGGTCCCTTCAGCCATCATTGTTTACGTTTTCATGAGCCACAGCTGATCGATCAGCTGTTCGGATGCGGATGCACTTTAACGCAGCTCTGTGGGAACACGAGTTTCACTTTTTAAAAAAATCCCAACCGTTCCTCACAAATGCGCAGTGTGGGAAACAGTATTAAGTATTTGCCGATATTTTAGACAAGGGAGTACCCGGAATAAATCAATTTTATAAATAAAACATCGATATATCGATATTATTGTGTGTGTATTATAAATTCTATCGAGAGTGGTTGTTGGTGGTGCCAATGTTATTATATTTATTTAAAACTTAAATTTTGTGGGTAAATGCACAAATGGATTTGTACGACGATATTGACACCAAGCCAAGAAGTAGCCAAATAGATGGGTGGTCGTCAGGCATAAAAATGTTACAAACGCAGTTAGCAGTAAAGAAAGCCGTAAAGAAACCGGTGAGTGCCTGAACCGAATCCGTTTTAACGACATCTCACCATCCGAATTTTAGCTGATGACTCCGGTTGTCAACCTGCGAGCCAAACGCCCTGCAGAGGCAGAGGCTCCGCTATCCTTAGCTCCCATGGCAGCGTTGGCGACGACAAAGCCTGTAATTACAGGCAAGGCTCTGCCACCGCCAATGCTGGAGAGCTTGAAAATGGACGACTGGGACTATTTAGACGAATACGACCCACAATGGCCAAATGAATATGAGAAATTAAAGGAAAAGACCAAAAGTGGTGAGAAATCCCGAAACAACAGTGGGAACGGCAGTGGAAGCTGTCGCGAGGAACGCGAAAGAGAAAGGGAGCGGAAAAGAGGACGCGGCGGGCGTCGAGAAAGCCACAGAGAGGATTCGTCTCCGACGAATATAAAATTTAGCGGATTTGGTAATCGACAAAACGTGGAAGAAAGATACAGTCCACCGCTCCCGGGCTTTGGTGCTAAACAGGGGGGCGGAGCCGCCATTGCTCCACCGCCTTCCCTACAAGAGATATTCATTGAAAATGGGGACGGATCGTCAAACGTTACCATACCATATTCTGCCACCTCGGTGGCCGCCAAGATTATGGCCAAATATGGCTTCAAGGATGGCCAGGGCCTAGGAAAGTCCGAACAGGGAATGTCGATGGCTCTGCAAGTGGAGAAAACTTCGAAGCGAGGGGGTCGCATCATTCACGAAAAAGATGTATTTCTGCCGCCCTCGTCGCCGCCATCTGGTCCCATTGACTCACCATCGGAACAAGCAGTGCAACCGTCCCAGCTGCTGTGTCCAGCGCCTCCTGCCAACGGCGAAGACGAGCCCAGCATCACCGAGATCATGAAGTCCCCTAGCAAAGTCGTCCTGCTTCGTAACATGGTTGGGCCCGGAGACGTTGACGAGGAGCTAGAACCAGAGGTGAAGGACGAGTGTAACACAAAGTACGGCGAAGTAACAAGCGTTATCATCCACGAGGCGTTTGGCACTACTCCCGAAGATGCTGTAAAAATATTTGTGGAGTTTAAGCGCATAGAAAGCGCTATTAAAGGTAGAAACGATACATTTTTTATGTGCACCTGTCAGAAAAACTACATACGGTTATTTATGCGGAAAATATGCATAAGTAAAAATATTAAATTCGTAGAAAAAATATATTTAGATTTAGTGTTAGCAACAAGTAACATTTTTAATCAAAAAAGTATGCGAGCAAACTTGAAAGCAATCGAAAATTCGTTATGGAATTTACAATTTATATTCTAAACCAAAGATTTATAATTAATTGGCCATTTTTATGCCCTTGCAGGGTATTACAATTTTAGTCAGAAGTTTGCAACGCAGTGAAGGAGACGTTTCCGACCCTATAAAGTATATATATTCTCGATCAGCATCAATAGCCGAGTCGATCTAGCCATGTCCATCTGTCCGTTTCTACGCAAACTAGTCCCTCAGTTTAAAAGCTATCTGAATGAAACTTTGCATATAGTCTTTTATATAATCTCTCTGCTATATATGTCGGAACGGGCCGGATCGGACGACTATATCATATAGCTGCCATACAAGCGATTGGTAAATGTAGAGGAAATGTAAAGCTGGGAATGCAAAACTGTAACTGTCAAACTGTAAACATAATAAATATACAGGTAAAATGTAATGAAATAATATCTGCAAGGGTATAAAAACTTTGGGGTGCCGAAGTTAGCTTCCTTTCTTGTTTTTCCTAACTTTATTTTACATCATTATTCAGCTAATAGCAAGGTTAGCGGTCAGAATGTTCTTACTAGTTTCAGTCAATCCGTATATGACTCTGCTGTATTCTTTCAACAAATGAAAGTAAAACACATAAAATAAAATGAAAGGAAAAATCTTAAAGTAGAAAAGTTTCTTCAAAATGTTACAACATACCTAAGAATACAGTATTCTACATCATATTTTCGTTCGCATAGTTTTTCTGGCAAGTGTACATGTTTGGTTAACATTAAAGCTCTTTTTTTTTTATTGATCCCTAGCTGTCGTGGACCTAAATGGACGTTTCTTTGGGGGCCGACAAGTGCGAGCTGGATTTTACAACTATGATAAGTTTAAAAGTTTTCAGTTAAATTAATTGTAATAAAGGTGCTGTTGCATGCAAAAAACCGGAAAACAAACGATCTCCTTGAAAAAATATGCTATACCAATTTTCTGTAGTCAAGGAGTACGAAGCTAAGAAATAGAAAATACGAACTTACATTGATTCGCCTCAAAAAGTAGTTCAGTCGTTGCAGTGTCAAGTTCTCGCAGAACCCAAGACAGTTTTATAATTTTGTCAACTTTAAGCCTATTACACAACCTTCCTCCCTCTCATTTAAATATCTACATAGTTGCTGTGTTATTTAAAGTATTTATGCAATATTACTGATTTTAAACAGATTTATTTTACATCATGCTTAAATCAAGCCTTGTTTTCAGTCCTAGTTTTCACGAAAGCTTTCTTTTTTATTTAGATTTTCAAACTGTTTAAGCCAGTTTATTTAGCAGGTCCCGGCTTGGCTTCTCCCTTCTCAAATCGTTTTTTTATCTTTTGAAAATGTCTACTTCCCCCTCTAATTTTTATAATCCACCTATGAAATTACTAGACTTTCATTCTGAATAATAGACTGACGACTGAATTACTGAAAGTATCGGCGATGTATCAAACAAAATCTCAGTCGCAAGACAAGGACTAATTCTTCTATATTCTCGTATATGATCTTTAATTATGGACCTAAAAGGAAGCAATAAAATCCTTTAATTTATACATACTATTTGGCGACACTGAAAATATCGTATAAGTTTTTTTCAGCTGCCGAAGTTTGTAAACCCTTGCAGTTTCTAATTGAATTATTAGGAATCGATTGTTGTTCTTTAAAGAAAAACTGACAGGAGGAATACAAAAATCTATACATTATATTATTTTACACAATGATGTTGATAAAATTTGAAACATTATTCTATAATCGCATTAAACTACTACGTCCCGGTTAAAATATATAATATAGTATAAATTATAAATAGTACTTTAAGTCGGCTCGAGTTCGAGGAGGGGTGGGGCAATTGTATTGTTTAGTACAACACTTCACGTCAGACAAAGCGGACGTGTAAATAAAATCTGAAGAGGGTGTCCGATGAGCAGTGGAGTATGCTTAAGAAAAAGAGAAGTATGTACATAAAAACAGCTGAATAATACGATCAAATTTTCAAAATTTTAGAGAAAAAAAAATTAGTTATTTGTTTACGTAATGGGTAGTAATTGAATTGACGCTGATGTACATTAAGCACAGTAAAATATATTTTTTTAACTTTTGATTTAATTACAATTACAATTACAGAAATAAATCAGGTATCTAACTTCGGGCCTCTTAAGTCTGTATATGTAATTCTTTGTTTTTTTCAGTATTTAAATGTATAAAGTTTATTATATTATTTGTATATATATTTAAATCTCATATATAGTTTTTTTATACGATTACTTTATTTTTTTTAATTTTATCAAAACCAAAATATTATATTTTATGTATAAATACACAACTTTTATGTATTTCCTATTATATTGTTCTATTAATTTGACCAGAATGGTTTGATTCGTAACTGCAAGGGTAAACAAACTTCGGCGTGCCGAGGAAATGTCGTAATCAACACTTGCACTTGAAAAAATAAAAATATTAGTATTTTTTTTTCATTAGTTTTTTTTTACTTTGAATGGTAGCCTAGACCTCTAAATATTTTTTATACAAAAATAAATAATTTATTTTAAAATGTGTTCTTATATATACACTTAATTTATTTGGCTAACTTTATCCGTTTCACCATAAATTATATGCACCGAATGAACCTTACCTCTACTTTTATGTTGATTCATGATTTAATAAAATTGTGGCGATATCAACCGTAAACGGTTTGTTTATTGTAATTTACGAAATGTTTTCTGAATGTTTCTGTTTATTGACAGAAACTGATTGCTGCTCATTAAGTAGTTTTGGTAATCGCAGCAACACAACTGTTCTTACATAGTGCTTGTGTTAAAATATATATATATATATAAATAAATTAAGGCCCATAAAAAATCATTCTAACATACTTAGGTAATACAAGAGCTAATTCTGATTCAATGCTTCTAATAAGGTGAAAAGTGGGCGATGAAATTAAATAAACATCCCACACGATTATAATTCAGCTGTTATAATCGCCGCAGCCATTTTCCTCGTTGCCCATCGTCCAATAATGATCTAAAATATCTTCGCTTGTGAAGCGGACATCTGGGTCGGACTGCAACATGTTGGCGATTAGATCACGCACTCCGTCTCCTATATCGGACCAATATGGATCGGGGAACTCGTAAACTCCTGATATAATTGCGTCGAAGAGAGGTTCCTGTTGGTTGTCAAGTGCCACGAAGGGTGGGAATCCGCACAGCAATATATACAAAATTATACCAGCAGCCCATACGTCAATCTTTTTTATAAACGCAAATATAGGAACAAAATATTTAATGTAAATGAGTGAACGTTATTCCAATTTACTTATTATTACTATTATTATTACCTTCAATCCGTAGCCCACCTCCAATAATATTTCAGGTGCCACATAAGTGGGCGTACCACAGACGGCATAAAGTGGTTCTGTTACCTCGCAGGCTAGTCCAAAATCAGCTAGTTTTAGTTCAACAACATTTCCATATTCATCCAGTTCAACCTGTAAACGCGAATTGCACACATCATTATTTTGCATTAAAACAACTGGCTATACACTGGTCGACAAAATATTATCAATAACATGTTTAGGTTGCTGCAGTAAAAACAACAATTTATCTTATCTAGATTAGTATATGGAAACTGCCGCTGTTTTCTTTTTTCAGTTCGGAAACATTTTTTTAATAATGATCATTCTGTAAATATACATATATGCATACATATATAACCGAATTTCGATTTATTTTATGAAAATCGGACGACGATATTTTATAGGTATCATAGAAAATCAGCATTTAAACTTATAATGTTTATTATATTATATATATAAATCTAAAATATAGTTTCTTTTATATGGTTAAACCTTTTTAATATCCATGCAGGGTATTATAATTTATTTTACTCAGAAGTTTGCAACGCAGTGAAGGAGACCTTTCCGACCCTATAAAGTATATATATTCTTGTTCAGCATTAACATCCAAGTCGATCTAGCCATGTCCGCCTGTCCGTACGCTACGCAAACTAGTCCCTCAGTTTTAAAGCTATCTGAATGAAACCTTTCATATAGTCTTCTATATACTCTCACTGCTATATATGTCGGAACGCGCCGAATCGGACTACTATATCATATAGCTTCCATACAAATACTTTCAACTACTTTGCGATATTAGCCTTTTTTAATATTATAGAATAAATTTTATGAAAATCGGACTACTATATCATATAGCTGCCATAGAAAGGATCGGTTGATGTAGATAAAATATAAGGCTGGGAATGTAAAACTGTAACTGTCAAATGTAAAATGTAATGAAACTCTGTTTTGTGTGTGTTTTCAGCATTTAAATTTATAATATAAATATCAAAACCAAATTATTATATGCTATGTATGAATATACAACTTTTATATATTTCATTTTATTTTCTTCTATTAATTTAACCAGAATGGCTCGATTCTTAATGATCCAATTGCGAACTGCTGGGGAATACAATCTTCGGGAAGCCGAAGCTAGCTACCGTTCTTTTTTTTTTTAGTTATATCTAATGATTATCTTTAAAAATAAAATTACAAAATCTAAACATAAATATTGTCATTTAATTTTTATAATATACCTTATAATGATTACGGGCCTGGTAAAAACAATTAATTGAAAAAAAAAAATATCCTATATTTTATCCTTAATAACTTCCTTTAAATTGTTGTGTTTATAATCTATTCACTAATTACTTAAGAAAACTCTAAAGAAACACAGGGCATTTCTTTTGCAGAAAAAGGAAAAAGTTTGTAAAGGCCTCTTTGCAAACTATAATTTTGGACATCTTTACAACTTAAGACCATTTTAAAATAGTAAAAGTGAGTTTGATTTTTAAATTCACTAATTACTTAAGGGGGGACATCTGAGTAACTGGCAAAAAAAAAGCCCATTTTCTAGAATTTTTTTTGGCCAAATGAAAAAGCCAATCGAAAAATTTTAAAATAGGTTTGATAATGTTAGATGTGAACTACAAAATAATTTTTTTTTTAATAAATCGAAAACAAAATGGCGGCTGTGCAGCATGTCTTCGTAGGCCCTATTTTTTTGAAAGGGGTCCATGGCCGAAAACCTAACGTCCTTAATTTTTGATCTAGAACAAAAAATCAAATTTTGTTAGTTTCTGTATCTCAATCGCTATCGACACATTTTTCGATATTTTGATTTTTAGCAAAATGGTGAGTGATTAAAGAAAATGTTAAATTTTCATGAAAAAAAAACGTCACAAAATTTTTGATAAAAAAAAAAGTAAGAAAATAACAAAAAAATCCTACGTGTGTCGATAGCCATAGGTATTTTGGATATACTGTCAAAATTTCAGATCGATCGGTTAAGATTTGTTCGAGTTATGTTTTCGGCCAACTCAAAAAAAGTGGTTTTGAGAAAAACGCGTTTAAAGTTTTAAAATCGTATATGATTACATGTGAGGCATCGCCGCAGAATGGAAAATTTCGACACTTAGAAACTTTTGCCGGACTCTATCTTTTGATATGTTATTTTCAAGACCCTAAAGTATTTTTTAAGCAAAAAAAATTTCGATTTTAAAAAAAAGTTACTCGGATGTCCCCCCTTAAGAAAACTCTAAAGAAACACAGGGCATTAAAAAAGTAAGTCTTTTCTTTTGCCGAAAAAGGAAAAAGTTTGTAAAGGCCTCTTTGCAAACTATAATTTTGGACATCTTTACAACTTAAGGCCATTTTAAAATAGTAAAAGTGAGTTTGATTTTTAAATCATTTAAATTATTATACTGCAAAGTGCGCTAATTGATCTATTTTTGAAAGCAGATAAATGAATTTTAGTTATCCGTCAGTGAATCTAGACTAGCATTCAGACATTTATTCATTCATTCATCAGCATTTAAGCTGAAATAATCACTAAAACAATCTGAGTAAATAATTGATTACAGCAGCCTTTTAAGTCATTGATGTGGATACAATAATTTTATAAAAAACAAATAAGGAAGCTATTTTTAGCACGCCGAAGTTTTTGTGTACATTTTTTTTGTAATTTTGTGTTACTTTTTGTATTGAAAAATATTTAGAGGTATATAGGAAATCTCTAGGGAGCCCTAAAAAAAATGGTTTTTCGGGTTACATCCTAACTGTCTACAGATTAAATGATATCGGATCAAAATAATTTGAGTTCGTTAAAGCATAAGTGTACTTACTCACTTGGCGTTTTTATTTTAAAAAAGTATTCCTGATTTTTTATTAAAATTGAAAATCAAAACCACGGATTTCGAAAAAATTGTAACTTTGTTACATTAAAAATGTAACACAATACAAACTTAAAAAAGTTCCTGTTGAATTAGTTAAAGAAGTAATGTGCCAAATTTCAAAACGATTAATCCTACTTTGAAAATTGATCATTTCAGGAGAGCGATTTAAACTTTGTAATACTTTTGAGCACCAATAGACCCCCGTTCAACTACGCATAATTTCGTAAATTTTGATATCACCAACGAGAAACTTTGACAAATATTGTTAGGAAATTGGACATTAATAAAAAAAAAAAAAAAAATACTAAAACAATAAATAAATACCATAATCCGCCCTAATAGAAAGTTTACAAGTTATTTTTATCTACCTTGAAATATGGAAATGTTTTATGATTTCAGAATTTATTTTAATTAATTAAATAAAATAAAATAATAAAATAATTAAATTTCAAACTGCTCTTTTTGGTTTTAAATCATAGCTCTTATGTACAGTCCCTGATCAAAACTGTGACCTGCGTGATAGTGACCTACATTTTTTCTGACTAGAAGTAGAATATATATTTTATAAGAAATTGTTGTTTCGACAAACCTAGTTTGGTGTCAACCAGTGTTAACCTGTAATTGAGAGATTAGCTTACGAGGAGGTTCTCCGGCTTAATATCTCGGTGTACAATACCCATGGAATGTAGGTAAGACATGGCTGAGCCCAAATGCCTGATCATTATGCGTGATTGAGTCTCTGAAAAGCGCGTCACCTGCGTGATCGCATCAAAAAGGTCACCACCTAAATTTCAGACAAAGATTACTTAAATTTTTCTTGCTATTAATATTACTTATGTTATTAACTTACCACTCACATACTCTAGTACAAGATACATATTGGCCTGATGGTCAACATCCATTATAAGTGATATTATATGCGGGTGATCCAGTTTTTTCATAACTCGAACTTCAGCGTCAATGTAATGCTCCTTGCCTTTGCATTTGCTCTTATCGATGATTTTTAGGGCAAAGGTATCACCCGTTTCACGCACCTTTATTTTTAGCACAACGGCAAAGTTACCGTCGCCAATTATTTCGCCAAGTGTGTATTGATCGCGAATAGCTAATGGCAAATCCCCGATTCCAACGCCAGTGCCTTTGAGAAACGCAGCTTGATCATCATCAACCTCGGTGACGGTGAGCGGCGCCGTCTTGAATTCGGAATCTGAATCTAGCGTTGGCGCGAAAATCTTTTTGCTCTTGACTGGCATCTTGGGTTTGGGACCTTTGCAGGTCGTACCCGCCGTGCGCAGGGTCTTGCGAATGGCATTGATCGCCCGTTGCTCATCAACCTCCAACTTGAAATCTTCTGTGGAGTTAACGCGCTCTGTACCATAAGCAAAGAAAATGTCATCCGGGCCGAAAAAGTCAGCCAGCTGCACCACAGATACGCCAGATAACGTGAAGACCTTTCTCACATAGCCTGTGTCCAGACGGACCACTTGGGTGATGGCGGTCAACACATGATCGAAGCTTGGACTGTTTCGTTTGTTTAGCAGCAAGCGCATTATGCGTCGTGGCTTTGTTCCATTGCGTATTAATGTCACAATGCGAGGATAAACCACATTGAGCCGTTCAGTGCAACGAGACGTGTTGAAAGGACTCCCATTGCCTACAGCTGGAGCTAGGGTACTAGACAGTAAAGATCCGTTCTTTAATGGTGAGGAAGGGCGCTGAAGCTTGGCCAACCGCTGATTGTTCGTGCGGCTATTGTTGGTTGCCAACGTCAAATTGGCCAACGGCTGGGAGCTGGTATTATACTCTACTTTCTTGAAGTTCTCGTTATTGCAGGAACAAACGTAGCTCTGGCCATCTTCCAGCTCATTCAGTGCAATAATCTGTTTTAGAATAATTCCATATGGGATAAACTAGCTTATACAAAAGGGCATGGTTCATAAAATACTAACCTTTTTTCCATACATGTTGTAGATGGTGCGAACGGCTCCCGGTATCTTGACATTCTCCTCCAGCAATCGAGTTAGGTCCTCGAAGAGACTCTCAAACGACCGATAACGTTCATTAGACACTGGAATGGTTATGCCTGGATAGAAACGATCGCCGTTGCGATAGAATTTAATCCTATGCGCCTTGCGAGTCGGTGTACGATTGCTCGAAATACGTTTTTTGATATGTGAGGATGCACTGACAGATGAGACGCCCAAAGATGACGTTGCACTTGCTGTTCCGTTTGTTCCATCGCCTTCAATGACATTTGTTGAAAGACGCGCCGCAGAGGTAGAGGTTGAAGATGCGGCGCTCAGCGAGCCGTTTGATTTTCCCACACTACCACTGGCGGTAAGAGAACCACTATTATAGTTTGCAAGCTCACTGAACTCCATTTCAAGCCTCGAGTTACAACTAGCGGGACTGCTGCAGTCCCGATTAACGTTGTCGGATTCCTCCTGAAGCTTTTCTTCAACGTTGTCCGGTAATGCCTTTTTTAGAGTAGCGTTGGTGGTGACTGTCGCCGATGATTGGAGGGAGAGTGCTGCGGAAGTGCATTGAAGGCTGTTCATTTTAACCGTTTGAACATCCATTCTGTAGTTAAAATAAAAGTATAAGATAGTAAGCATAGGTAACCTTCAGTTATTATATTATTTCCAAGATTTTCCAATAAGGAAACCATTTAAGGTTAATTCGGTGCAAAACCGGTCAAGTTAGCTTAATGAATTTAATATATTCAGGCCTGCTCCGGTAATCGAAAACGGGAAGATTTTTTCGTTTTCGTTTTTGAAAACGAGAAATTGGTGCTCCGGAAATCGAAAACGAAAGATCTTTTTGATTTGAAAAACGGGCACCTTTTTCTGGCCGGAATGAAAAGTAAATGGCTTTTTTATATGAAATCAGAACTTATTTACAAAACGGAAAAAATAGTTTACTCAGTGGTCTATTGATGTTTATTCCACACCACCATAAGATCATTCTAGCAGGTAGTTATTTTATTATAATTTATTTCTGATCGCACCTCAGATTTGACAACAAAATTTTTGCCGTGTTTACCAAGTCTTCTCGTTTTGGCGATAGGTCGATAAGTTCACCGCAAAAAGTTATCGCCAAGGTTGCCATATTGTTGGTGGAACGAAACAGCCAGTTAAAAATACTTATAAAATATAAATGAATACATTAATAACTTTAAAGGACCGCCAAAATGGTTGTTTATAATTAATGCTATTTAATGTAATTACTTAAATGGTCCATATTAACCAAATAATTATTTAAGACCACCGGAATTAAAGCTGTGAAAAGTGTGGCAGCATCTTAGGTGCCTAGATTTGCTTAACTCTAGCATTTTTTGCCTTTTTCTGGCTTAGAAAAAGGGCAATTGCAAATATAAAAGGCAGTACTTTACGTTGTTTGCTTATTACCAAAAACACAAGTTAGCTGCTTGAGCAGTGAGAAACGATGAGAAAACGAAACATTCCGAAAGCAGAAATTTTTCGAAAACCGGAGCAGCTAAAACCGAAATGGTTCGTTTTCGCCCAAAACGAAATCAAAAAAATTTTACGATTACCGGAGCAGGCCTGAATATAACATATATTAACACATTTGAAAAAAAAATGTAGACGTCCAGGAGTAATTGGGAATCTCCCGAGTTTCCTCAAAAAGAGTAGGTTTTCGGTGACATCCTAACTGTTCACAAAAACAACCGATATCAAACAACTATATTGCATTTGTTAAAGGATAAGTGTCCGAGGTATTCACGTGGCGTTTTAGTACCCTTGCAGGGTATTATAATTTCAGTCAGAAGTTTGCAACGCTGTGAAGGACACCTTTCCGACCCTAAAAGTACAGCTGTGTTCATTGAAATAGCAGCCTACGACCTGCACGTTTAAGATTGGAAAATACTGTTGCAAACACTATTTTCATAAAAAAAATTTTTCATAATGACTTAGTGTATTTAATTATTAACAATACCACAATCATTTAATTTAGGTAACATAAACCTTTTAGAAGACATAGCTAATAACAACACAAAAGGTCTATATTATGCTGTTCATTGAAAAAGCAGTCAAAAACTAAAATTCTACATAAATTTAAAAATATCGTATAAGAAACCTATTTCTTTTGAAATTCTTATTGACTAATAATATTTTGTTAACCAGAATGGCTCGATTCTTAATGATCCAATTGGAAACTGCAATGGTATTCATATATCGACATGCAGAAGTTAGCTTCCTTTCTTGTTATTTTTTAAAATTTTCCAGATTTTTATTTATTTATTTTTTTTTTTTTCAAAATTGGAAGTAAAACCCCCAAAGTCATATTAAAAAAGCTCTACATGAGTACCTGTAGAATTAGTTAAAGAGGAAATGTTCAACATTTCAAACCGATTGGTTGAGTAGAATTTCAGTTATCGTGTGTTTCAGGAGAGTACTTTAAACTTTGTGATACTTATACATTGAACACCAAAAGATCTCCGTTCAGCTCTGCATAACTTCGTCAATTTTGCTATGATCGATGTAAAACTTGGACACAGATATTAAAAGATATTAGGTAGCTGTCAATGCACCAAATTATTATTTTTAAGATCACATGTCGTATTTAGAGGGTGTCGTTCTGATAATAACATTAAATATAAACGCAACAATTTCCGACAGAAAAAAACATAACTGCAGTGAATGTAAGTCCTGTTATGCTAGTAATTTTTTGGTTCCCTGATATAGTGGATTGTAATAAAACACCCCGGGAGATCCCCTAAATGTTTTGCATCAATACCAATAAATTCTCAAATGTACATACCTAAGCTCTTTGGGCGATCTTTTTTATAACGTTTTGCGAAACATGTTGGAAGGAAACTTTTTATTAGGATAATCCCAATCCCAATTTTTTTGAGAAGAATCAGTAAATTCAAAAATTTGCATGTGTTCACATTTTTTTTTTTTTTTTTGTTGCTTATATTCACAAACTCCCCTCGTATCGTTGCTATCAAAGCAACCCACCAAGGTCCTGTCGCCACTCCCATGGAATCTGGTGATAGACGATCTGATCTAGAGATTCGAGAGGCCACTATACTGCTTTACGCATCCATGACGCTTAGCAGCACATGGGGCTTCTCACCCTCTCTAATGCACTGGGTCTGCACATCGGTGGTGCGTCCGACTCTGCTGTATGGAGTCTCATCTCAACGTACATATAACATGATCATGGAAAGAACGCGGCAGGCACTGCTCTGCTTAACACTGGTCGAAACAAGACCAGTATATCTGATCACATAATACCCAGAACGTGCCTGGACGTTAAAGCAACAACATTAACGGGACATGATGACTGGAAAATGGGTCAGAGCCTTGCTCAAAACCTCAACATCTATACTGACGGCTTTCGGGAACGGATAGTTTAAAGCGGTCTCCTGCCATACACGATAACTTAACTTAGTCTACTCAACCAATCGTTAGGAAATTTGTAACATCATTTTTTGAACTAACTCTACATGTACATTTTTTAATTTTAAATGATTGTTATTTTTTATTTAACAAACCAGCTTAATTTTGTAGTAAACAATCGGCGTTTTGCCTTTCAATTAAAAAAAAACGGGAAAATAAATAAAGACGGCACGTGAGTACCTCGGGACACTTATCCTATAAGTAATGCATTTTACTTTTTCATATCGGAAGTTTTTGTGGACAGGATGTACATACATATGTACACCGAAAATCACATTTTTTTTACGATATTCCCTATCACAAAATATTTTTTAATATAAAAATTAAAAAAAAAAGATGGGCTCATGTACGTTGTTATATATACATATTTAATTCATTAAGCTAAATTCAACCGTTTCGCAAATTTTTTTTTTAATGTGCCGGATTGGATTGGAATTCTAGCGGTACGAATACTGTTGTGAGTCATGCACAAACAGGTAAAAACATACTTACATATGTACATAAAAACGTGTACATATGAATATATATGTAAGTATCTATAGACTGGAAAAAGGTTTAGTTAATTCAATATTAGTACGTTTATACATGCATACATACATACACATGTCTGAAAACAACAGAATTTCTACTTTCGCTAAGAGAAAATATGCCTTGCAAAAAGCCATCATTAATAATAGCGGTATCATAACAAACTACGAAAATGTTACATATGTACATATATACACACATATGCACATATATAGATATCAGTTGAATATGCGAGAGGGTACGAAAAACTGTTTCATATGGCAAAGACTATGACTCCTCTTGCCCATCATGAGTCGTAATGAAAGCAATTAGCTTATCTATTAGTTTCCCTTTTCCTCTAACACGCTTGAGGTGTGCAAGGAGTGTATGTACATACATATGTATGGTCTCTGTTATTTGTGCAAGCTTGCATCTTATTTGTCCGGGGCCTTACAATTTTACTAATCAATGTACTATGTATAATTCCGGTAAGCCAACGAGGCAGCTTTTATACATACATATGTACAACTACACATGCCTACATACTTATACATATGCATGAAAAAACAAAGATTGTATTGTTTGTTTTATTTTTATGAACTACTGCCAGAGTACGACTCTTGTTGTTAGAATTAAAACACGACAATCTTGGCCTGACAAACATTTTCTTCACTTTCACTTAATAAATACACAGATTGTGGACATTTCAGTTCGGTATTCCTTACCAGACTCTTCACTACTCACGCCACTCCACTCCCTCGGCACAAATACAAGCTATAATCACGGGTTATGAATCGAGCAGAATGGCGCAGCGTTTTGTTCCTATTTTTTATATTAAATTTTCTTTAGAGTTGTTTATTAAATATTCTAAAATAATGACCGAACTTCATAGCAAATTTCCGTACGCCCAAAAAAAAAACAGTATGACCAGGGCGCCGTAAACCAATGTATGTACATACATATATATGTAGGTAGAATTGTCAAAGCTGGACAGCTGTAAGAGCTACATACATACATATGTACATATGTATGTATGTTGAACCATCGATGATTTTTAAATTATTGCGTAAAAACGCTCGAAAAGCGCAGCAACGTCTTATATTTCCCTATGGAATGAATATGCTCTAGAAGGAAAGAATATAGCGCGCATCAAACATTTGAATGTAGAGCTGTAAAAGCATCGATACTAATATCGATGTATCGATGTTTCTATTTTTTGCGTTAGTATCGATTTATATTTTGGAGTATCGATATATCGGGCCATATCCAAAGCTTTAGTAAATGAAGTATGCAGTGTTCTGTCCAAAATAACCAAAGATCATTGTTGTGTCCGACGGACATATCGGTGATCGGAGGTCACTGGTATCGATAGGTGGGAATGGGTAGCACTGGGGATAGGACTGCCAACTGAGGCCATTTAGGGTAGTGGGTTCATTCACCCGATGAAAGAGAACTCGAAAAGAAGGAAACCTAACGGAGTTCGAGTTCGAATGGCGTGTTGTCGGTGGTCGCTGCCTCCGTTGGTTTTGGAATCCGGAGAGAAAGAAATTTGATCGAGCGCGGGACAGTTCGGCGGTGCAAAATTTTAAAATCGTGAAGTGGCCTTAAAAAAAAAAAAAAATAAAAAAATAAACTATAAAGGTTAACTAACACCGAGTGGAAAATAATAAGTGGGAGACAACAGAAGGAAGCAGGAACCTGGGAAGCTGGATCGGCGAACCCTCGAGGTGAGTGGTCAGAGTCCACAAGGCAGGGCAGTTAGAAGAGGATAAAGAAAATTTTTTTTTAAAATATAGAAGCCGACCAGGACCAGGTTATAAAGAAGGAGCGCCAGGCCAAGATCCGGGCCTGGCGAAATTCTTTTGATACGGGAGCATAATCTTTCGATCCCGCATATTGTTTATATATATTCTGGCGGAAATAGTGGTCTTGGTGGCCGAATATTTTTGGAGCTGGCGGTACCTCGTGCTTTATGGTCACCTAAAATCCGGGTGCCACATAATTGTTTTTTTTTGACTGCGCCAAATTGCCGATCCTTTTGGTCTTTGCTGGTCACCCGAACCGCATGTAAGGCCATAATTTTTACACGCCACTGTGCATCGGAATCTCGGCGATGCTATAGTGCCGCCTAGGTGAAGACCGACACGCCTGCAACGAGGCGGCAACGGGAGCCACCAAAGGCTTCAGTCTGGGTTTTTTTTATTTTGTTTTATATTTATTTTTGTTCGTCATTTAATCTCCTCATTTATGTAATTATTGTTTTAATTTTTTTTTATTATTTATTTATTTATTTATTCATTTGTTTATTTATTTATTTATTTATTTATTTATTTACTTATTTATTTATTTGTTTGATCATATTTGTTCCTCATTTATTTATATATTCATATTGTATTCATTTTTTGGTTGAATTTTCTGGTTGTGCCCTAACTCAATTTTTTTTCTTGTGAATTTCTAATTTGATATTCAGTGGTTTGTGTATCGGCTTCCCCTCGAAATTTCGTTCCCCCCTTCTGAGCGCTCAAACGGGTAGGTCGAGGATTTTGTTGATGTCGAGGAATTATTATTATTATTCTTATTACAAAAAAAAAAAAGGATACATAACAAAAAAAAAAGAGTTAGAGGGTTCAACAGAGACCAAACTGCTCGATTATAATTTTATGTAAAAATTAATAATTATAATTAAAAGTAAGGTTTGAAGATGAACATGGAGTAATTTTTTTTCTGGGAAGGAGGAAGGAATCGATGGCGTGAGGTGATTGTGTGGAAGCATGGTAGGGGCAGCTGCATACCTAATTTCTGCCAGCAGCCTGCAAAGGATGGGAGGGCAAGGCAGGTGAGCTCCACTACATCCCGGAGTCTCAAGAGTCTGACCGTTTAGAAGGTATGTGTCGTTAAAAAAATGTTTCGTCCAGTTTCGAACTTGTGCAAGTGTTAGTGTTGTGCAATGTCTCGTCTTGGTCTAGGGCGGGATGTTCAAAAATAAATTATATCTGTTACGTGTGTCAGTGGGCCGGGCCAAGAACTGATGCCTGAGAGGGAGCTAGCCGAGGCATGGCCCAAGCTGATGGCTGCACACGCAGGACCTTGCAAGGGTCTTAACAGAAATGGCGCCCAATTGAAAGCAGCACTAAGTCCTCCACAAAAGGACATGCTAAACTTCGTGGTTGGTAGGATCAGAGAAATCTAGCGGGGTGGCTAGACTGAATATCTGATTCTATATACAACGAAGTTAGAGAGCAAAGAAAGGTGGCGGATTAATGTCCTAAAACGGGGCTTCTAGAAGCAGACTTGAAGTCATCAATTATGCGGTTAAGCCAAATAAATTGATTTGCGCAAGCTGGCTGACAAAAGTCCCACAATTGTGATTAGAATTAGAATAAAATGTCGGACAGAAACGAGGAAAAGGAAATCCGGCGACTATGGCTAGCTAAGATGCAAGGACATATAGCGACCGGAGAAGGAGAAGGCCAAGTTCGACACTGACCAGATATAATAGATCAGTTTGCGAAATGTTGGCATAGACATCGGACACAAATAACGGACAAAGACTAAAGTAGTGAAAGCGGGAAAATTAGAATTAAAAAGGGGTTTAATAAAAATCAAATTAATACAAAGGGGTAAAATATTAACTAAAAAAAAAATGTAACTGGTTCCTCCTTTTTCCCGGGTGGTGAGACACGACAACGTCCGGCGACCCAGGGCCCAATATTCGGTGACCTTGCGCTGCGTCCAGGCGAAGGACGGTGACCTCTGCTCCGATGTGTGAGAGAGTTGCATCGGTTCCAATTTGTACGTGTCCATTTGCACCTGTGGGAAGAAGAGAGGATGATTAGTTATGTTTTGGTTTTTGTATTTGGCAACTTGACTATCAAACGTCATTGCTAGTGAGGTTTTGTATAGTCGACTGTGCCAAATATGTGTTTTTTGTTGTTAGTATGTATACGTACTTGTTTTTAAATGGTCAGAAATAAATGTCGAACACACAACACCAAACGCCGAGTGAACTTCTTCCTTCCAGATGCAGATATATTGTATACAACAAAACATTTGGGTGGATTCTCGCCAAATTGTCATTGTAGACGAGTTATTAAACATATTTTTTTTTGTAGTGTTTGTTTTTGTTTGTTATCACCACATTATCGTTCCTTAGCCAAGCAGTTAGCGTAGCGTTTGATTGGTTCCAGACATTTCACGTCGAGGGTATATGGGTGGACCAATAATGTCCACAATGCAGGGCGAAGAAGAACGGCATAGAGGTGAAGAGGAGGAGTCACAAATGTTGGAAGGTGCAAGGGGCAGGGATCTATCGGGGGCACAGCGAAGGGGCGCAATCCCAAGAACTCTGAATCTCGATCAGGCCTCCACTCCGTACAACGTACATTCCCACATTATCCTAGACCCAATACAGGAACAATACAGTCAGGAAAACGCCGAAGCATATGGCTCGTTCAATAGGAGGGAATTGCAATCGGTGATCCAGACATCGCAGGAGCAGATGAGGGTGGATTTGCAACGTCTCATCGACGTGAGGATCGACCAATGCATGCAGACGGGATTCGCCGAAATAATGAAGCGATTGGATCTAAGGGACGGAAGTTCAGAAACATCCAAGTCCTCTGGTTCATCGACGGCAACACAGCGAGCGGTTGGAACAACTGGGAGTAAAGAGGCTGGTAGCAAGGCACCGAATATGGAAGAGGGTCCAGGAGGCGAAGCAGCAGGAAGACAACCCCATTCCGAAGGACAGAGTGAGGGAGCCAGAAGGGATCACCACCCCGGTCAGCCAACAACGGATGTACTGCCACCTCGAGTGGCAAATGGAAGAGGTGAAAGCCAAACGTGGACCGGACAAGGAAACCGTTGGGTGAACCCACAGGTGACAGGAGGCAACCCATTTGGGGTCCAGAACGGATCTATGAGAGATCGCTGGGATCACCGCTCTTTTGATAACAGAGCCTCGGGAACTCCGCAACAGCCGAGAGTGAGATTTGAAGGGCAACAACGAGACGAATATCGCGCCTCGGCAAATCCAAACGGCAGTCTGTCCGGGAGAGGACCGGGAACCAGTTTTTCGGGAGAGCACAGGCAATGGAGTCGGCCAAGGCATTATGTTCCACTGGACAAGTGGGGGTTTCAGTTTGCCGGCAGCCACGGCTCCATGAGCGCTGAGGACTTCTTGTTCAGGGTGGAACATCTACAGGAGCACTATGGAGTGCCATGGCCAGACCTATTACGGGATTTTCACCGATTGCTCACCGAGGAAGCATCTGAGTGGTACTGGCTGCAAATCAGAACCAAACCTCCGAGGACCTGGGAGGACCTTAAAGCGGCATTGCAACGGCGCTATTGTGACAATAGGAGCAATTATGACCGAATCCAGGATATCGCCGAGAGGAAGCAGCGCTCGGGAGAATCTCTGGAGGAATATTTCACAGCCCTCCGGCG